CTTTTTAAGGACTGAGGCCTGACTAAATCCCTAAGGCTCGAAGTATGAAGAAGGCAACACCTGATTGATGAAAAACATGACTATTTGAAAAATGAAAATGGAACATTATGCATATTAATCATTGAAGTGGTGGAATTAAGATGTGTGGAATCTTACTACAGTTATTTTCTTTCTCCCCTTAAGTCTCATCAATGAACTATGGGTTAGGGAAGCTAGAATAAAGAGACGTTGGACAAGATGTGGTTTGTCATCTTTCAGAAGGCAGGCAATCATATTTGATACATTTTCACCATCAGTAGCCTTCTGACAGTGACAAGTTATTTGGTGTGAGTGGTGGTAGTGCAATAGTGAAGTCCTGTACCTGGCCTACCCTGGAGGCAATTGTGATGGGGCTTGTGTTGTATATTGCTGCTCTAGGAACTCATTTGATGTGGTAACCACCTTTGGCTGTGGGATAAATTTGTCTCATACATCAGTAACTTTAGAGCTTCTTGATATGTTATGCTGTATCTCCGTTTTTCATCATGTGCTTTAGGGAGCCATCTTATCCATTGAAGTCCTCTTTTTCAAGTTTTTTTTTTGCTATCATCTTTGATGATTGATGCTGCAAATTCTGATTTTTCTAAACTAGGGATAACTGGGAGGAAGGGAATCCTGCAACTTGGGGAAGTAGCCCACAGTACCAGGTTAGATCTTTAATGACTTGCTAAATGCCACTAATTATTCTGGCTTGTTAACCATTAGAGTCAGTAATGTGTTCTCTCTCAGACAGGAAGCCCTCCTTCACGGACATATGAAGCTCCAACTCCGGGTTCTGGGTGGGCCAACACTCCTGGTGGCAGTTACAGTGATGCTGGTACCCCCCGGGATGGTGGTTCAGCCTATGGTTGGTGCATTTGTATTTATTTCAACTTTTCCACACAAGAGACATATCTTATCTTAATATTACTTACTCTTTGTGTTCAGCAAATGCTCCAAGCCCATACTTGCCTTCAACTCCTGGTGGACAGCCGATGACACCTAATCCAGCCTCCTATCTTCCCGGTACTCCTGGTGGGCAGCCAATGACACCAGGCACAGGTGGTCTGGATATGATGTCTCCTGTTATAGGTTTGTATTACTCATTTCAGCATGCAGCTTGATAGAGTTTTCCCTATATTTATTTTAAACAAGATGTTCTTCACAAAAAATATTCGTAGAATATCTGCTACAAGTAGAGTTTACAATAGACTCTGTTATTTATATTTGCCATTAATTCGCATTTTTCTTTAACATTTGGAGGAAGTAACACCTGAACTTTATTATTACTCGCTATACTGCATGTTGCATATTGATAAAAAGGGTGCCACTATAAGTTAATCCGAGCACAAATTGAGTGGAGCACCCGGATGAGCTTGCATCGATACAATTTTCTTTTCTTTTGATAAAATTGTATTAGGGTACATTTGACTACCTCAAGAAATATTCTGAGTTTCATCTAGAGAGACCTGGAATAAAATTTATTTCATAGGTACATTGTATCGAACTTGGGAAGTTCAACCTTTTGCAATGGGTTTCCTTCCATTTTCGATTGGCATCTCCAATAAATGTTTGTTTGTTTTACTCTACTACTGATTTCAAAAAATAAATTAAAATGGCAGGTGGTGATTCCGAAGGACCATGGTACATGCCAGACATATTAGTCAATGTCCGGAGGTCAGGAGATGAGCTCGTCAAGGGAGTAATCCGTGAGGTGCTTCCGGTACGTGTTTACTAAAGCTTTGCCCACTACAAATTTTATATTTCATTTTATTTTATTTTTATACATATTTGTTTCTGATGAGTAGTAGTAGCTGGACTTCTTATGGAACATGTAGAGCGTTATTACCAAATTATTGTTTTCTGAACGAAAAAAATACAAGGGGAAAGATATTAAGAGAGATATAACTGAAGTGTGTCTTATATATATAAATATATATAAAGATAAAGAACAGAAGGTAAGGTTAAGAAGGCAGATTTGGAAACTCTACAGGTGAGTAAATTTCACATAGAAAGTTCATAAGTTCATGGTCAACGATACCATTCATTCAATCTTAAGAAGGCAGGTTTCATGCCTATCTATCTCTCTTGCAGGGCCCACCCCATCCTTATCCTTCATTTATTTGTAATGTAAAAGTGTAACATTCAAATGAAACACAAGGTTTAAAGCATATGTGTAACTGAATTGGGTATAATATTATGAAAAGTAGTGCTGATTTGGTTTTTTGTGTTTCCTCAGGATGGCGGATGTAGGGTAGGTCTTGGATCAAGTGGAAATGGCGAAACGGTAACAGCCTCTTCCAGCGAAATAGAAGTGATCGTTCCTAGAAAGTCAGACAAGATCAAGATAATGGGTGGTGCACTGCGTGGTGCCACTGGCAAATTGATCGGCGTAGACGGCACGGATGGAATTGTGAAGGTAGATGACACTCTTGATGTTAAGATTTTGGATTTAGTTATTCTTGCAAAACTAGCTCAACCATAATTTTATTGCTAATAAATGAGAATCCAATCATATTGTATACTACTAGTCTAGTGCATGCCAGTTTTTTCCCTACAATTATAAATGAGTTCCATCTTTATGTTGCTGCTTCTTATTCATCCCTGCTGGCTTTGTCATGTTTAAATTTGACGCTTGTTACATTTAGGCATTGTTTTTGTCTAGTTTCTGTTTAATGCATGATCGACACGTCAAATATGTATACCATATTAGGAAGAAATTTGAAAGTGGATGAGTTATAATATTTATGTTCTTTCATTGTCTTTTTTAATTTTGACATAAGAATATTACTTTATTTTATTTTATAAAAATTGCTTTTTGGATAGTCAATTTTAAAGAAACTCTTCAAAATTTGATCAAAAATCAATTTGATTGTTGTAGTTGGGTGTAGCAAACGGAGACCGATGAAACCCTTTTTTTTTTTTTTTTTTTCGGGATTTTATTTATAAAAAAAATTTATTATTATAATTCGGTTTCTTGAACGTTTCTCACCAATCTCACCACTTGGCCGCAAGGTACATTTTTTTTATAATTAAATTTAAATTTAGAGGAAAAGACGGTTTTGTCCACACATTATGAGGTGTCTTTAATTCTATTTGCCACTGGTCTGTGTGTGTACCCATGGGATCTCTCCACTGCCTTTCTGAAAACCACAGCACCCACTGGATTGTACATCCCTGAAATTACCATATTACCCTTCCATTTCCCCCCCCCCCCGAACTTCCCTTATAAATTTGGTCCATCACTGTGCTCCCTATTGCCCAAGATTTGTACTCGATCACACTCTCGCGCAGACGGCATCATGAATACCCTAACCTCGAACCTCCTTCCAACTCATTCTCCGATTTCATTTGGCCGGAATCTCGCTCACTTTCGGTTGAAGCCGCCGCTGTACGCTGTCAATTTCCGGCCGTCGCTACAGCCGATTTCTGCCATATCGACGCCGGATCTGATTAAGGGCCAGAAGACGCACTCAATGCCGCCGGAAAAGGTCGAATTGTTTAAGTCGCTGGAAGGTTGGGCGAGTGAGAATGTACTGCCGCTGCTGAAGCCGGTGCAACAGTGCTGGCAGCCGCAGGATTTCTTGCCGGATTCGACGCTGCCGTATGACGAATTTGTCGATCAAGTTAGGGCTCTGCGGGAACGGACGGCGGAACTGCCGGACGAGTACTTCGTGGTGCTGGTTGGGGATATGATTACGGAGGACGCATTGCCCACTTATCAGACCATGATTAACACGCTGGATGGTGTTAAGGACGAGACTGGGGCTAGCAGCAGCTCGTGGGCCAAGTGGACCCGGTCTTGGACCGCCGAGGAGAACCGCCATGGCGACTTGCTCCGAACCTACCTCTATTTATCGGGTCGGGTCGATATGCAGATGGTTGAGCGGACTGTCCAGTATTTGATCAGCTCCGGCATGGTAAGACCAATAAATTTTAATTTAATATAATGTTGTTAAAATACTTTTTAAAATTTCCAAAATTGGAAGTTAAATAATTTTATAGTTTATGTTTTTAATACAAATTTAAAAGTTAAAAGGTTTTTAATTAATATTACTATAATTGGTGACGTGTAAATACGATCCACGTGGACAGGACCCAGGAACAGAGAACAACCCATACTTGGGTTTCGTGTACACGTCATTTCAGGAGCGAGCCACGTTCGTATCCCACGGCAACACCGGCCGTTTGGCCAAAGACAACGGCGATACAGTCCTGGCTCGAATCTGCGGCACCATCGCCTCCGACGAGAAGCGCCACGAGAACGCATATTCCAGAATCGTGAAGAAGCTTCTCGACGTGGACCCCTCTGGTGCCATGCTGGCAATTGAAGACATGATGCGTAAGAAGATCACAATGCCAGCTCACCTCATGTACGACGGCGAAGACCCCAGGCTATTCGACCACTTCTCCGCCGTTGCTCAGCGGCTTGGAATCTACACGGCTAACGACTACGCCGACATTCTGGAGGTGCTGGTCGAACGATGGGCGTTGGAGAAGGTGGAGGGATTGACGGCGGAGGGGCGACAGGCTCAGGATTACGTGTGTGGCTTGGCGCCGAGGATTAGGAAGCTTCAGGAGCGAGCCGATGAGCGAGCTAAGAAGTTGAAGCCGTATGGAGTGAAGTTCAGCTGGATTTTTAATAAGGAAATTCCCATTATCTCCTAAGTTGTTCTTTTTCGTGTAAAATTTTAAATTAAACCAAAAAAAAAAAAGAAGAAATTTTGAAATTTTGTTTAGAAATTTAGGATTTTCGTCCTTTTATATAAAATTAAATCCCATTATCTCCCACGTCTCTTTTGTAAGAAAAATCTATTAATTAATTTATTTTAATCCATTTCAGTATGACAATTACAGGCACGTTTTCTGGAAAATGAAGAAAAAATCAATTAAATTTTTTAAATTATGAGTGGGATAATCATAATATTTATTTAATTGGGTTTTATTTATTTTTTTCAATTGTTCTTGTTCTTGTTCTGTCCAAAATGATGAACTTTTCTGCTCAGGAATGGTTTTGATGAGTGGAAGATGCGGGCTGTGGCTCTTCTATGGAGCTTGGATCGCCTGCTTCATGCTTACCATGTAACCCTTTTTCCCCAACCTTCTCGCTCCGTACGATTTCTTCAGTTATGTGGATGTCATCTTCAACTGATAGCACCGTAGTTTCGCATGATCCATGGGGTCCTGCAACTATGGCCTCTTTGATCTTCCTGTGTTCGTCAATGTGGATGATCTCTGTTTCTTCAATGGTTTTCTCCTTTCTCTTTTTCACGAAGCAGAAGAAGGCAGCTGCCATGAATGCAAGCAGGAAGAGCCCACCCATGGACACACACACTATGATGATCACTGTCGGGTGGTGGTTAGAAGGAGGCGGCGGCGGCGGAAGCATTGGAGATGGGGGAGATATGGGCTTGTATGGTGTTGGTGGAGCAATTGGCTTGTGTGGTGGTGGTGGTGGTGGTGTAATTGGCTTACGTGGTGGTGGAGGAGCAACTGGCTTTTTAGGAGGCGGAGGCGCAATTGGTTTGCGTGGCGGTGGAGGAGCAACTGGCTTTTTAGGAGGCGGAGGCGCAATTGGTTTGCGTGGTGGTGGAGGAGCAACTGGCTTTTTAGGAGGCGGAGGCGCAATTGGTTTGCGTGGTGGTGGAGGGGCAGTTGGCTTATGTGGAGGTGGAGGTACTATTGGCTTGCCTGGCGGTGGCGGAGCAGGAGGGGGCACAATTGGCTTGCGTGGGGGCGGAGGCGCAGTCGGGGGCGCAATAGGCTTGCGTGGTGGCGGAGGAGCAGTCGGCTTTCGAGACGGTGGAGGAGGAGGAGGAGGCACGATCGGCTTACGCGGTGGCGGAGGAGCAGTCGGCTTCTGAGAGGGCGGAGGAGGAGGAGGAGGCACAATTGGCTTACGTGGGGGCGGAGGGGGCGCAATTGGCTTGCGTGGTGGCGGAGGAGCAGTTGGTTGTCGAGGCGGGGGCGGTGGCGGTGGCGGGGGTGGCCTAACTGGTTTATATGGCGGTGGGAGAGGCGGCCAGAAAGGATGATAAGGTGGTAAAGGAAAGTAAGGGTACTCAGAAGTATTGAGAGAGGCCATTGGGATTAATATCTCTCAAGAAGTATTGGTTAAAGAAAGGATATGAAGAAGTTGGTAAGAAATGGGATGCGTTTTTATACAAACAAAAAAAGACTTAACTTTGATGCTAAGCCTGAATGATTGTGTGCATTATAAACTTGCTCTGTTCTTGCTTCCCACCCTCTGTTTCTCTGCTCACCAAGCATATCTTGAGTGTGTATCAAAAGCTAACAACTCCCAACACAATCAAGGAAACTAAATCAATGAGTTGGGAGCTTTTCATTATTTCTAAACAAAATCTTGCATTACATTCCACTCTTTCCATTATCATTAACCCAACCCAATCAAACCAAATCAAACACGTTCACGTTTAATTTGTTTTGTTTCAATCGTCGATGGAAGGGCGGGTAGAATTGAGCAGCCTCCTCCCTCTTACAAATGAAGAGAACAAATGCAGAGCTCTTGAGGGCTGAGCGTAGGGCACCATATGAGCTGCCCCACGCACCGTTGCGTATGTCAGTATATTACCGTACTCGATGGCCCAGCCCCCGACTTGGCCCTTGTGAAACCAAGCTCCGTAGGGTACTGTGATCTTGAATTTAAGGTCATGAGCCAACTCTCGGACTAGCGTCCTAGACCCCATCAATGGCACCACTGAATCCTCATCCCCACTGTGCGTGTTCATTCATTCATTTATTCACCATTCTCAACGTTCAAAGTTTAAATAGAAAGTTCAAAACGTACCTGAAGATCCAAATCGGGATGTGGTTTTGGATTATTCTCTTCAGCGCGGGAAGCATGTTGATGTTCGTATCATTGTAATTATAATCTACTAAGCTGCTCAAAAGCACCAACAATCAAGATTTCGGCTGTGTTCATGGCATAACTATTATGATGTAATATGGATGCCAAAAAAGAGAATGTGGGCTTACTTACTCACTGCACATGAACCATTGATGAGGCAAGTTAGTACGATTAGCATGAAGAGCCTTTTGAACTTCTGGTAAATTGAAATAGAAACGCCTTTCTTGGGTCATGCACACATCAATTCCCATGCTTATTTTAGTCGCCTGCAAAACGAACCAAACCGAACCACTCATTACAATCTCGACACCAACTTAGAGTCTCAACTGATTAAAACATTAGAGGTTCAAATCACTACAGACCCACATATCGATGCACTAAAAGAAAACAAAAACAGCATAAACGAACCAGTTTCTTCAATCTCAGCTCTTGCTGGACAATGGAGGGGTAGCAGACATCCAAAAGAACATCGTAGGTGTTTATGTACTCGCTAACAATACCGTTGGCGTCGGCGATGGCTTGGATGCAGGATTTGGTTACATTGTGTGGAGTAGTCAACAGATAATCATCAAAATCACAGTCTCTATTGATTGCAAACCAAACCTCGTCGGAAATCATGCCATGAGACCAAAAGAACTCGTAGGTTGCTGGGACATCCCTGTCCAGATTAAGTAATGGGTTCCCAAGCTGCAGGTACCATTACAAAAGTAAGTTGAATTCAAAAAGTAATGGTTTTGGAGTTCATTGTTCTTACAGCAACTCCCTTGATATTGAACTTGAAGCCCTTTGAGTGAATGTTATAGTCCAGCATTGCTTCAGCTAGCTGAGGAATGTAATGGCCTGCATCAAATCAATATCTTCTCTCTTTCACATTTTTCCCACTTCTTTCTAACCTTCCGAATAAACTAAAATTAAGTTACGAATGTTCATTCTCCGATTGTCGATTTAGTCTTCATACTTAGAAAGTTCAAGATGGAATTTTGAACTTTGAATTTGTGAATGGTATTGAACAAGTTTTTAAATTTAGTTCAGATATGTCACATGATCATGGTTTTAGTCGCTAGTTTTCATTTTGATTCCTATATCAAAATGTTACATTTTTATCATTAAATATTTATTTCAAAATATTATACCTATGTATTGAAGTTCTTAATTTTGTTTTTATTTGGACTTTTTTTTTCTAGAAATTCGGATCTTGGGTGTTAATGTCTATTAGTTAATTTTAAAAAATTACTAATTAATTTTTATTAATTTTCTATCACTATTAAAATTAATAAAAAAAAATTCAATTTTTTTTGTTAAGTTCAAATAATAAAAGTGAGAATTAGTTAAAATTCGAAGTAAAGCGTAAAATATTGAAATTTAAATACCAAATAAAAACAAAACTTAGATTTCAAACCAAAAACTCAAATCTCAAGGCCTAAAAAGAGTAATTTCTCCTTAAAAAACAAGTTCAATAATTAAATAGTTTAATTTTCTTTTAAAAAATAAAGATATCATATAAATACGAACGAAAATGTAACCGTCCAAGCCCACCGCTAGCCAATATTGTTCTTTTTGGGCTTTCCCTTTTGGACTTCCCCACCGGCTTTTAAAATGCGTAAGGTTTCTACACCTGTATAAGAAATGTTTCATCCCACATCGATTGGAGATAGTAATGAGTGGCAGCAAGGATACTAGGCTCTGAAGGGGGTAGATTATAAGATCCCACATCGGTTGGAGAGAGGAACGATTGCTAGTGAGGATGCTGGGCCCAAAAGAGGGTGGATTGTGAGATCCCACATCGGTTGGAAAGAGGAACAAAACATTTTTTTACAAGGGTGTGAAAACCTTATCCTAGCAGACGCATTTTAAAAACCTCGAGGGAAAACTCGAAAGGAAAAGTCCCAAAAAGATAATATTTGCTAGTAGTGGGCTTGGGCCATTCCAGAAAACGAACTAAATTTATAATTTAATAATAATAATAAAAAAAAAGTATAGAGAATGACCTGCATAACTTTCTCCTGTGAGGAAAAATGAGCTATCTCTGAAAGCTGGAAACTTGTCATACCATTTCAACATAAAGGTGAGCATGTCCCTGGCTGCACAGATCCAATCTCTCTATATTTAATCTTTAATCAAACAAAATCTAAATTAAATTAACCTCTAAACTATAGGAATTAGAACCTGTGGAGTCATCACCACAAGTGTAGTCTGACGTTGTGTTTGAGTATGACCATCCTACCCCCACAGGAGACTCCACAAACAGCAGATTCGAGGCTATCAAAGTCAATTCACCATATCATTCAGATTCTTTCAATATTTAAAAGAAGAAGAAGAAGAAAACTAAAGCACTACCTTTATTCCAGGACATGGAGTTTCTTCGAAGGCCTCGGCCATCACCTCTGGGATAAAAGGGCCCCAACTCTGTAAAGGCACCCCCACCAACAGACGAGCAACCTGGACCTGCATTGGCCTTTCAACAATTTAATATCCTCCCCAAGTTTGATTCTATCAGTATAACAGAATGGCCTTTCAAGATCTAATCATATCATATACTAAACCAGTTCTAAACCAAACCAGACCTCCATTGAGCCAGAGAGTGAGGGGCAGGAGATGGGGATCTTTCTGAGCTTCAGCAAAATAGTAAAACAAACTTCTTCCCGCGTCGACGTCGACATCGACGTAACCTGCAAATTGTCTAAAATTGACCGATGGTTGGCCGGGGAGCCTCCCGACGAGATCCTCGACCGGGAACCCCTGCGTGGCCACCCACAAGGCAATGAAAAAGCACCCCCAAGCAGCCCCAAGAGTTCTTCTCCCCCGCTCCATCCCTCCCAACAGCCTCATTAGTGCTCAAAACCTACTACCCTGTGTTGAGTATATATTGTACTCCAAAAGAGAGTTATAGATAATTTTCTAATGGAGCTGGCTATGAAAAAGGTAATACACATGGGATTTTTATAAGGATATAATGACAACAATAGGTGCATGCAGACACTGCTTTCGATCACCCCACGCACCAACCCCTGCCCTTCTTTTAACTTAAAATTTTCATTTGCACCTAATACACCATTTATTTAATCACCATACCTTCAAATTCGTAAAGATGATGAAATGGGTCAATAAAGCAGAAAGTAAAAAGCTATCTTTTTAGGCTTTTTCCTTGAGCTACGGCCTCCAATCCTCTTACAATTGTATGACTTCCTAACACACCAAAAACAGAAAAGTTAAGTGAAAAACAACAAGAAATAAATGAGTAAAATGATGCATATTTTTGGTAACTAAGTACAGTGCATGTAATGAATAAGTGAAGTCACGAAGATAGTATAGAAACAGCATATTGTTAGAAAGCTAAAGGTGTCGACAAAAGGAGCCGTTTTTCATTCATCACGCGGGTAAAGAGACTGATTGGTCGTTTTCTAGCAGGGACCAAACCAGGAGTGCCTCAGTCAATGCCATTACAGTACAGATAAAGTTTCATAATTCAACCAATACAATCAGAACAATTTGACAACAAATAAGTATAATACATGCATATCAATGTTCATGTTGACCAGACCAACTCAATCCAAAAACTATTAAGCGTTTATCTTACAAAATTTGTATTCAAAATGTGTTTAGATAGAGAATAGCATTAAAAACGAATCATACGTTCATAAGATAATAATTACTAGTTTACTATACACCGACACCTTGAATTTCGACCAAAATTTGATTGCATTATCAGTAATCAGAATACAGTCTAACCAAGCGTAATGAATCGAAAGGAGTCTCTAAACGCCACTCTCTTTGTTTTTTGCTTAGTGGTCTTCCTTTTCCTGCCTTCTCTCTATTTATCCTCACATCTGCTAAACCCCAAACGCAGCACCTTGTTTCTATGTTGAATGACACAAGCTTGAAAATGCCATCACTCTCAGAGGACGAACTGGGTGTAACTACATCGTTCGTGTATTTCACATACATTGCTCTTTCTTTGAACCGATCCAGCTCATCGGGAATCCGAACGACGCGTTCAACACCAGGAGATGAGACCTTATAATGTTGGAAGGATTAAAATCCATTTAGACCCAAAAGCTAACAGAGTAGAGCAACTCTCTTTTGCTCTTGTCAAGTGGGAAACTAAATTGAATAATGTAAGTGAAAATCTTCTTCTAATTGCTAAAGATAGATTGGTTGATGATATAGAAAAAAAAGAAACGAGGGAATTTGAGCAAGGAAACAGGCAGCATACCTCTAAAGATATGTTCTCTGGCACGGTTTTAGAAAGCTCTGCTTCATCCAATCGTGCTCGATATCTTGAAGAGAAAGCCTCGATATCTTCCATCCTGGGGGAACCCGATCTGAGGTGCATTGTTGGGAATTAGAACCTAGGAAATGGTACTCAGTCTTACCAAGAACGCATGCACCAACAGTAAACTTGGGATAACATGTAAAATATAACACATTTTCATATGCTTAAAGTAGACTTCAACTCGAAACGTCCTTAATATCTGGAAATCCTTCGAATTAATGTGATAATTCAAGCAATAAGGAGTTCGAAGAAATCCGATTCTTCTCTGAGTCGAGTTGTGAATACGGGTCAGTGAGAACACTAATATCAGAAGGAAAACTTGAAGCCAAAAGGTAATTAATGGCTCTCTTGATTTACTTGAAAGCAAAAGGCATCTCCATTTCCAGCTTAAAAGATAGGTACAGGTTGAACTCGTATTGGATCTAACCCATATGAAGCGGCTGAACTCGTATAAGAGCTTGTTTGAAATGATTTTTCAAGTGTTTACAAACATATTTTTAAGCTCTTAGAAAGTCATTCCAAACACGTCCGTCTTAAATCTCTAACGTGAACTCTCTCCCTTAATTTGTGAGCAAGCGAAATCTACGATTAGAAATCCTAATATTTTCTAATATCAACATCACTCAAACAATCCGTTTGAGAAAGAAGGAGCTAGCAGACGGCATTTCATTCTTAAGAAAGCAGCAACAAGAAGTTATTATCTTACAAGAAAACCAAAACCACAGTCTAATATGTGTTCATAGAATGTAAAAACTTACTTGTTAGAAAGCTTTTCAATACGCACTTGAACAGTGGAATTAGAGACTGTTTTGAAAGCATAAATCTTCAAGTCGCCATCAAATGAAAGAATAACCTCTTCAGCCATAGCCAGTGCTTCTTTATCCCACCATGTCCCAGCAAGGGAAATTCCACCTCCTTCCCCGCCATCCCCTACCTTCAAATCAAATTATCAAATCCAGAATTTCAGTTAAGATTTCCAACACAATATCTCCATGTTTAGAGGCAAGAATCTTACATAGACTTCAGCATTATCCTCCATAAACTCTTCTTCAAAGTAATCTTCGCCATCATCGTCCATTATCTCATCTACGCAATCAAGAAAGTTCCCCGAAATTTACTCATTCCAAGACCAGTCTAAACTAGGATTCAATAGAAACTAGAGGAATAAATTGAGCGAAGGTTTTATTAATGGATCTTACCGTCTTCAAGTTCGTCGAGAAGTTCATCGTCTTCTTCGTCCTCCGACACTTCCTCGACGATGTTTCGTTTGATAACTGGCTCTGATTCTGAGTTTTTCTTTCTGGCATGAAGTAATAAGGGATTGTTCGACGTAGATGGAAACCGATGGCCAACAAATGGGAAGGGAAGATTTCTCGGCGAGATTAAGGACGAACGGAAGCCACTCTGTGGAAGGATTGATGAAATTGGAACTGCAGAGAGTCTGAAATTACGGACAGTAATCATGACCATCACTTCTCTTAACGGAGGAAACTGGAAAACTGGGAATGATGAAGCTCACAACAGACAGCTGCTATGGCGGCCGCTCCGCAGAGGCGCAATCCAACAAATGGGGATAATTGCATGTCAATTCAACTATATGTTTCGATTATACTTCTCGTCTATAATTTTTTTTAAAATTTAAATCCTTAAATATTAAAACTCACGATTCATTATATACCAGAAGATTAATTATATTTGGAATGTGAAATTTGGGTAATTGTCACAATAATCTCGTACTTTAAATGGAAAAAAAAAAAAGAAAAAAAAGGAAAAAGGTTAATTCTACTTTCGGAAAAGCGGGAAAGATTGAACAAGAAGGTGCGTGTTTGGCGACCATCTTGATCGGCAACTTCCCAACTGACTGTCCATTTTCGATTTCATCCCTCGTCGGTCGTCGCAGATCTGAGACCTTCCTTCTTGCCTTCTATCTGCATTTGCGATTCCACTTCATTGCCACCGCATTCACTAGTTTTGGTGCCGGATTCACGACTGTTAATTTTGAGACCTACGAGCTGAAAATGGTGCTGATATCGGTCGTTCGGGATTATATCAACAAGATGTTGCAGGACATCTCCGGCATGAAGGTTTTCATCCTCGATTCTCAGACGGTATGCGCCATCGTGTTCATTACATTCCTTCAACCTTCTTTCTGATGTGTATTATGGAATCCTAGAGCCTGATAACGTGCCCTGTGTAGTTTTTGTATATGATTTCTTCGATCTCTATCATTCACAGTGCAGAATAATGATAAATTTTGATTGTTATTGCTTTTGGTTTCAGGTTAGTGTCGTTAGTGTGGCGTACTCACAGTCGGAGCTTCTTCAGAAAGAAGTGTTTCTGGTTGAATTGGTAGATACCATATCGATGTCAAGAGAATCCATGTATCATCTGAAAGCGGTTTGCTTTCTCAGGCCTACATCAGAGAATATACAGCTTTTACGTCGTCAGCTAGCCAATTCTAGATTTGGGGAGTATCACCTTTGTGAGTTTTTCATTTCTTTTATGGATTTCGAACTTGTGTAAGTAACTTTGTGACTCTGTAATGATCTTCCATTGATACGTTAATCATTCTTCTGTGTATCTGAATTACAGTTTTCTCCAACATTTTGAAGGAAACTCAGATTCATATACTAGCTGATTCAGACGAGCAGGATGTTGTGCAGCAAGTTGTGGTAATTTTTCTTCTTACAGAAATTATTAACAAATTTGTGATGTCCCACGTTGGTTGGGGAGGAGAACAGAACACCCTTTAAAAGGGTGTGGAAATCTTCCCCTAGAAGAAGCCTTTTAAAGCTTTGAAGGGAAGCCCGAAAGGAAAAACCCAAAGAGAAAAATATCTACTAGCAGTGGGCCTGGGTCGTTACAAATGGTATCAGAGCTAGATACCGGTTGTTCCCTGAAGGGGTAGACACGAGACGGTGTGCTAGTAAGGACGCTGGGCCCCAAAGGGAAGTGGATTTAGCACAGGGGTCCCACATCCTTTGGAGAAAGGAACGAGTGCCAGCGAGGACACTGGGCCCCGAAGGGGGTGGATTGTGATGTCCCACGTTGGTTGAGGAGGAGAACACCTCCCCCTAGAAGATGCATTTTATAGTCTTGAGGGGAAGCCTGAAAAGGAAATCCCAAAGAGAACAATATCTGCTAGGTGGGCCTCGGTCGTTACAAAATTCGTGCTATTATATGTGGATGAGATCAGGGAAGATTAATCCAGATTAAGTTCGTAAGTAAAATAGTATCATGGAATCATGGTTCTTCTCGGTCGTACCATGTCAAAGAGACGGTTAGGTTATCAATGGCATGAACCTTCTTATATGTGTCATTGATCCTGCTCACTAGCCTTATTATAGATCTCCATTCTCTACTCATCCTGTTCATCATTTGAAATAGCTGGTTTGCATGAGTTTTATATTGTACTGAATTCCCATGTTAGCTTTAATTGTGATAATCACATATAACTATCAAACGAACCATGCAGGAATTTTATGGCGATTTCATGGCCATTGATCCTTATCATTTCACTTTAAATATGGCATCAAACCACATATACATGATCCCGGCAGTTGTTGATCCTCCAAGTTTGCAACATTTCTGTGACCGAGTTGTAGATGGCCTTGCAGCACTTTTCTTGGCGTTAAAACAAAGACCTGTCATTCGGTACCAAAGGACTTCTGATGTTGCCAAGAGGATAGCACAGGAAACATCAGTACGTAATTTCTTACTATTATAAGTTGCATTTTCTTACTTTAATTTGTTAGTTAACCCGTTCGTATTTATATTCGAACTCTAGAAGCGGTGTCGTGACTTCAGATTTGTACTTTTTTTATTTTTTTATTTTAGGCTTTATTATCACAAGTTCAAGGGTCACAATCTTTAAATTTGATTGTTTCTGATGTACCAGAAACTTATGTATCAGCAAGAAAGTGGTCTGTTCGATTTTCGAAGAACAGAAGTCTCCCCTTTGTTGCTGGTAATTGATAGGAGGGATGACCCGCTGACTCCCCTGCTGAATCAATGGACGTATCAGGTATTGGGATCACAAAAGTTACTCTTTGCTTTGTTGTTACTACATGATGGTGTTGGTTATTCATAGTTATGTTTTCTAGGCAATGGTTCATGAATTGTTAGGTATTCAAGACAATAAAGTGGACTTGAAAAGCATTGGGAAATCTTCAAAGGATCATCAGGTATAAAGCTCACTCTTCTACTCTGCACTAATATGCATTTTCTATTGGACAATTAAACATATTCAAGATAAACGCAGGAGGTTGTGCTATCATCAGAGCAAGATTCGTTTTATAAAGCTAATATGTACAATAATTTTGGAGAAATTGGAATGAATATCAAGAAGTTGGTGGATGATTTTCAGCAAATTGCCAAAAGTAACCAGAACATTCAGACAATAGGTGAAATTCTTTGTAGGTATTTGTGACGTATCAACTACGGGGGGGAAATTGCGTCACGAAATTGTTTTTTGTTGCTTTGTTTTGTGTAGAGGACATGGCCAAGTTCGTTGACAATTATCCAGAGTACCGAAAAATGCATGGTAATGTTTCGAAACATGTGACATTGGTGACAGAGTTGAGTAAAATAGTTGAGGAGCGAAAGCTTATGTTCGTTTCACAGACAGAACAGGAATTGGCTTGCAATGGTGGGCAAATGGCTGCTTTTGAGGTTATAATATTTTCTCCATCGTGAATATGCCATGCATTTTTCTCTCTCATATCTGTACAACGTTGAAATCATGATATAGTCCCATATTCATGTTTTGCTCGACATCCATTTTAGTAGTTTTCTTAGCACGATACTTGAGAACTATAATCTGGTTCTTCTATTTTTCTGGGAAGGCAACTGGATTGCTGTTTCATTATTATATAATTTCATAATTTTCGTGGATCTATGATAAGATCATTTATTTATAACGGTATGGTATACAAAGTCAACAGATCTCACTTAATAAACAAAAATATAGGATTATTTATGGCTACACAAACCGTTGAGGATAGTTCTAGATCTAGGCCAAGACAAACTATTGTAGGGGATTTGTTGAAACCATTAAATTCAGAATATGGTAAAATGGCTCTTGGGTGGGGAATTGTGCCTTTAATGGGTGTTGCGATGGGTCTATTTACGATATTCCTATCTATTATTTTAGAGATTTATAATTCTTTCGTATACATGATGCAAAAAATAAATATCATGTGAGTTATCTTTTTTTTTTTTCCCCAATGTTACAAGAATAGTATACATTAAATTTTGAGGAAGTTATTATGATTGAAACAAATTTTATTAAATATTAGATGTTCCTTGTTTTTGATTTCATAGTTCTAACTTGTAACATCTCTGCAACATTTTTTTTCTTATGTGCCCATGAGCTATCTGTAAAAAGTTTGGAACTCCCAACAATAGCGTGGAACTATTGATGAGCTATGAGATTGTTAGTTGTTACTTTCAGCATGACCACCTCTGCTCTTTGCTTTTCAGGCGGTAACAAGTCTTTTGAACAATGAGAGTACTTCTGATATAGACCGCATGCGCTTAGTTATGTTATATGCCTTACGCTATGAGAAGGAGAGCCCTGTCCAACTGATGCAGCTTTTCAATAAATTGGCTTCTTGTTCTGCCAAATATAAAAAAGGGGTACTCTATACACTTAAGCACCATTTTCAACACTTTTTTTTTTCTACTTCTTGTAACGGCTCAGGCCCACCGCTAGCAAATATTGTCTTCTTTGGGCTTTCCCTTTTGAGCTTTCCCTCAAGCTTTAAAATGCGTCTCCTAGGGAAAGGACACCCTTATAAAAAGGTGTTTCTTTCTCCTCCCCAACCAATGTGGGATATCACAATCCACCCCCCTTCAGGGCCCAGTGTCCTCGCTAGCACTCGTTCCTTTTCCTCACTGGTACATCGCCCGGAGCCTGGCTTTGATACCATCTGTAACAGCTCAGGCTCACCGCTAGCAAGTATTGTCCTTTTAGGCTTTCTCTTTCGGACTTCCCCTCATGGCTTTAAAATGCGTCTGCTAAGGAAATGTTTCCAAGGGTGTTTCGTTCTCCTCCCCAATCAATGTAGGATATCATAAAAGATTTAAACATGCTCGATTATGTTATGGTTATTATGTACACTATGTGGATTCATGATATCTCTGTGTTTGTAAGAAGCTAGTTATTCTTTGGCCAGACTATTATGATAATATTGTTCACATACTTCTATTCTTAGCTAGTCTTCAATCATCTTGATATGCTCAACAACATGGTATGACAGCTTATACAGTTTCTTTTAAAACAAGCTGGTGTTGATAAGCGAACGGGCGATCTTTATGGAAATCGAGATCTTTTGAATATTGCCCGTAACATGGCTCGTGGATTAAAGGTATGCTGGAAGCTTTTATAAAAGAAATACATAATTTAAACTTGTTTTGTAGTTTAGGGTGCTTATATACTGTTCTCTTCACTTCTGTTTTAGGGGGTTGAGAACGTTTACACTCAGCATCAACCTCTTGTCGTCCAGACTATGGAAAGTATAATCAAGGGACGATTGAGAGATGTTGACTATCCGTTCGTTGGAAATCACTTTCAGCAAGGAAGGTTTGTTGTTAGTGTGAGCGTGTGTCTAACCGGATAACAGTTAATTGATCTATTACATATAAAAGTATTCCGTTTTGTGTCTAACAAGTTCATGCATTTTTTAAAAAGGTCAAATAGGCCAAGGACTTATTATACACAATCGAAAACGTGAGTGTCTATCAGATACTTTCTAAAATTCAAAGATCAAATAGACACAAACTTGAAAGTTCACAGTCCATCGACCTAGCATGACTTCTAAAAACGAGAATACGATGATCATCTTAGTATTTTTCCTTCTTCAACTTTCGTTAAATTTTATGAATTGAAGTTGGCTAGCTACTTTGTTATGAAGCAGGCCACAAGAAGTCATAATTTTTATCGTCGGCGGGACGACATATGAGGAGTCACGTTCTGTAGCCTTACAAAACTCGACTACTTCTGGAATACGTTTTATACTGGGCGGTTCTGTTGTTCTAAACTCTAGGAGGTAAGCAATGAATCTCCTACCAACTATATAATCGTAATGCCTTTACGAACACCTTGAGCTAGTCGTTATTTTTCGTGATGTCACCATTTGGCGCAGGTTTTTGAAGGACTTGGAAGAAGCTCAGCGTAAATCTCGTTCGAGCGCCACGGTGATTTGAATCTCAACATCCTCCAAAGTAACCATTTCCAACAATCAGGTCAATCTTAATCTTCTGCTCATAGTAGAACAAATCTAAATGTCCCATTTGTGGCATATACAAAAATCCCTCATTCTTTTTTGTATTTTTTCGAAACAATATAATATAATTGAGATGTTAGCATCTAGAGATATAGATTATGCAATGTTAACTAAATTTTGTTATTCATATCCCATATTAATTATGAAAATGCTTTTATCATATTTTAAATAAAAGGGTATCTAGGTTGATTGAGAATAAATGTTTATATATAATCGTGAATAAATTTATTATTAGAATTAATTTAAATAATTGAATTGTACTAATTATCATTTCAATAGTCGATAGTCAATTTTTTGTCCCTATAATCATTTTATAATAAAAAAAGTATATTTTAATTGTTGAATATTTTATTTTTGTATCATATATTAATTATACTTTATGAAAATTGCATGACAAGATACGATAGTTAATTGTATATAAATAAAATAATCAAATGATTATAAATAAAATAATCAAATGATAATGACGGAAGATATTTTTTTAATTATAAAAGCTAAGAATGACGCAGAATGAGTAATTTAGAGGTCAATTTTTGAAATATATTTAAATAATTCCCTTAAATTATTTCCTTTTCGACCCTGCCTACGTAGGTAGGCGACAACTATGATACCTATTTTGTCTTGCTCACTGATGACGTGGATTTACAAATAATTCCATGTAGCCACGTCACACGTTTGCGGCTTCCCCCGTAACTCCGTTGCCTATAAAGCAAACTGGTCGTCCACGTCTTCGAGGCAGCTAAAGACGGGAAACTTCTACCCGGGACGGCCCATCGGCGCTTTCTCCCTCACCTGTGGGTCCCGGGGGGGTTGCCTTCAATCGACGGCTGAAATTCTAACTTCTTCACCGACTTCGTCATTTTAGTCGTTTCGATTTCGTTCTTCGTCGTCAAACACGTTTCCGATTGCAGAACCATCTTCCGATTTCCTCATTTCTGTTGTGTTTACCATACCGACGCTTTATATTACCTCCGGCGAATTCATTTTCTGCCGAGGTATTAATCGCTTAACGCTGAACTTTCCACGGGAGATCTCCTCCGCAGGTTTGAATGGATATTCTCTATCCTCTCTCGTTTCCTGTGAAATGTTGTGGTTGTATTTCGTTTGACGTTAGTTTTAGCTTTTAAGGTCGTTATTTGCTGGTTGATTGGTGTTTTAGGGTTTAAATCCTGTGTTGACTTCTGAAACTTGATATGATTATCCTGTGCGCCCGGCTAGGAAGTTAGCAATGCAGTCCTCTAATTTACAATTATTTAATACTATACTCGAAGCATCTTTTGTTATTGAGGTGGATTTTTCAGTATCTATCAGTAATTGGAATCTTCTTTGTCCCGGTTGAAGACTACGCTGTATGAGACTGCTAGTTATCGTGTAAGCTTGTTCTGTAGATCTTAATTTTGTAGTCTTGATGGTCACTTGCAATGTTGAATCACGCATGCGGTCATTTTTGAGTTCACTTATGATCATTGCTTGAAATATCATATGCATTCTAATTTGTGAGTGATGATTGCTTTTGCGCACCACCGACTTACCTTGATCATATTACAACTAAAGATATTGATTTATTTTCCTTGGGAATCTGAATGCTGCCGAAATACTACATTCCTAGTGTAGGGGACTACACTGGCTTGGACGTGGAGGGAAATTGTGATTAGAAGTATTTCCTTACTATTACTGGTTAAATATACACATAGGGGGAGTTGATATTACTTCAAAGCATGTTAGTGTAGCCGGTTTGTCTAACGTTCTTATATTTGTGTCTTCTCCCATGGTTTTTTGTCCTAGTCGTCTTATTCATTTTCTGGGTATGAGAATCCGGATGGTTGCTGATTCCTGATGTTTATTCAGAACGTTTTGACTTTGTAGGCCTAGTGTATATTGTTTGATGGGGTTCTTCAACCTTTATAATTTTATATCTACATTCTTAGAAGTTCAAAATATTTTCTTTCATAAGCTGGACCTTTCTGGAGTGCACTGAAGCCTCAAGATAACTTATTCCTGGCGAATCTGTATTCTTTTTTTTTTTTTTTTACTTTTGCAAGGGCTTGATGCGGTTTTCTCTGAGATCTCAAACTAGGAGTGATCTGGAAGAAAAAATAATAGTAGAATAAGACATTGAAAGATTGGTTGATGAGTTAGCCTTGATCGAGCACATTCCTAGTTAACCAGTTTCTTTAAACAGTTTTGCTTGATGGGATGGAGGATGTTCTTCTACACTCTGTTTATTCTCTTCAATATGGTTGAATCCTCCAGTAGATCAGGGAAGATGTGGTTACTGAATCTAAGCACCGAAGCAGCTCCTAACTTCAGCTGGACAATTTTCAGTGCTGGTGTATTCGTCATTGTTGCACTTGTTCTTTCCACACTTCTCATCATTGAGCATTTAGCTTCTTATAATCAGCCAGAGGTCTGTTGTGTTCCTTCATTTGATTGGATTTCCAAAGGACTAGTTATATTATCTTCTGTGAAATTCTTGAACGCTTCTACTTTGCTGCTTGGGTGGGAATACATCCCCATGTCCAATCATACTCACTGTTGATGTCTAATCATATATCTGACCAAAATTATAACATTGGTTACATAGATGTCAAACAACACATGTTGTGTGAAGAATGAAGCTAATTTGAGTTTTACTTCTTTGAATTTCATAGTGTAGGGGCTATACATAAACTTGTGCGTTTTCTCATGTTTTGCTTACTTTGAGAGATGATACTATCAATAGTATATTTATTTTTTTGGCACTGCCGTTGATTGAAAGATTACCTTTCTTTCAGGAACAGAAGTTTCTGATTGGTCTTATACTGATGGTTCCTGTTTACTCTCTAGAATCGGTGAGAGGAACACTACTTCCCTTTTTCTTTACATCCTTCATTTATTTGTTTGATTTTTAATTTATTATAATTGCTCCATTTATTATATTTTTTAAAGAAGAGGATCTGGTTTTTGTTGGCACGAGAACTTTCTGAATGTATTTAATTTGAATTTGACATTTTTCTACTTTTTGTTCCAGTATTTATTCATTTATTATTATTATTATTATTTTGCTGCAGTTCCTGTCTTTGTTAAATTCAAATGGTGCATTCAATTGGGAAGTGATACGGGACTGCTATGAGGCTTTTGCATTATATTGCTTTGAAAGATACCTTATTGCTTGCTTGGGTACGTTTATCATACTGCAATTATGTTCGTTGGTGTTTTTTTCTCCCGCTGCAGGTTGTCCAAACATTTTTGGTGCTACCCATTTTCTTTTCTTTGTGCTAATTATAAGGCTCTTTATTTCCACCTTCATTTGCACGTGTTAGTTGTAGTATGTACTGTGAGATATAAAATGTTTTGATGGGTGATTAACTCATTTTACAAGATTAGTTTAATGCCCTCAAATAATGCTGAAAATTTTACAATTTTTATGTGGTTGAAGGTGGTGAGAAACGTACACTTGAATTCATGGAAAGTCAGACTGTTTTTGATTCTGATACACCTCTTTTGGCGGAAAAATATGCATATGGGGTTGTAGAACATCCTTTTCCCTTAAATTGCCTCGTAAGGGATTGGTATCTTGGTTCTGACTTCTATCATGCGGTTAAAATTGGTATCGTTCAATATGTATGTGATCATTCTTTTTCTCTCTCTTTCTTTTGAAAGAAGTATGTTTTGTCAAATTCATATCATGGTTTTGATCCTTGATTGACATCTCAGATGATATTGAAGATGATATGTGCTCTCCTAGCTATGATTCTTGAAAGTTTCGGGGTCTATGGAGAAGGAAAGTTTAACTGGAGATATGGGTATGTGCCCTGATTTACTTTTGTGGATATTTTAAACCTTTTAACATCACAGATACCTTATGATCTCGATTGACTATAATGCAGACAAATGTAGTCGAACCTCTCTTCTGGATTTAGATGTTTGTGAACTTCTAGTTCTAACGTACTTTTCCAAGGCTTTGTGCATTGATTTGACCAGTCTCTCTTACGTTCTACAGCTATCCCTATTTGGCGGTTGTACTTAATTTTAGTCAATCGTGGGCCCTGTATTGTCTTCTCCAATTCTATTCTGTCACAAAGGACAAATTGGAATCAATTAAACCATTGGCGAAGTTTCTTGTGTTCAAGTCGATCGTTTTCCTCACTTGGTGGCAAGGTGTTGCCGTTGCCTTTCTTTTCTCAGTAGGAGCTTTTAAAGGGTCCTTGGCTCGCGAGCTAAAGACGCGCATACAAGATTACCTCATATGCATTGAGGTGAGCTGAGACTATATTTCTTGCCCATTTGCTCCATAAATCTTACAGTAGTGCTTTTAGGCTTGCCCTTCACATTATTTCGTTCTTTTCTTGGGAGGATTGATAAATTTAACTTATCTTCAATCCGTACTTGGAAGATTAAGATGTCATTGGAGTTGAAACTTATCAAGAGTATGGGTACTAGCTGATGTTTGATTAGGACGCTTGGGTATCATTTTAAAAAGTGAACCATCTGTACATTCAGGAGGAAGGAGGAAACTTTTTTAAGGCCTATTTGAGGGTTGTTCGATAATTTTCTCGGTTATCCCATATGGATCATGTGGCTGATACTCCATGTGATCTGAAATTAAGCGAGTTTGATTGTCAAAGAGTGTTAAATCTCTCGTTATATTATATTGCAATAACTTATTTTGTTTTCTCATTTCATCTCATTCAGATGGGTATTGCTGCCGTCGCACATGTTTACACCTTTCCAGCAGTACCTTATAAACGTGGAGAAAGATGTGTTCGTAATGTTGAGGTGCTAACCGACTACGCATCCTTAGGAACGCCACCTGATCCAGAGGAGGTTAGAGACTCCGAACGAATAACCAAAATACGCTTGGGTCGCCATGACGAGAGAGAGAAGCGTTTGAGTTTTCCCCAGAGTGTTCGAGATGTTGTAATTGGAAGCGGCGAAATTGTAAGACCCAACCTTATTCTTTCTAATCCTGCCATGGCTTCTCATTTTATTTGTGAGCATTGATAAGTCCTCCGTGACTTTGTTCCGCATCAGATTGTCGATGACATGAAGTATACAGTCACACACGTCGTAGAACCAGTCGAAAGGGGTATTTCAAAACTTAACAAAACGATCAATCGGTTCTCTGAAAATGTTAAACGGCATCAAGAACAGCGGAAGAGTGCGAAGGACGATAGTTATCTGATTCCTTTGAAGTCCTGGTCGAGAGAATTTTCTGAAGTTGAAGAAAATGTTACTCAAGGCAGCTTCAGTGACAGTGGAATATCCAATGGTAAGAGACAAAGAATTGGCAGATAAGATGGCATTGGTGTATTAAGTAAGTAATGTAAATCATGGGAACCCATATGTTGGCATGATTATTAACCATGCTGATGTTCTTAGTTTAGAAAAAGGAATCGACGGCGGGGACGTTAGCTTGCTAAACTTACCGGCCCTTGCCCCCTGTCGAGCTAACCCTTAACCCAAACTCAATCAAATTAGCTTCAGACACGTGAGGAAACAAGAAAAAGGAATCGACGGCGGTGTTCTGTGGGAAAGATGTGGTGACTTTTTAGCCATCGATCTAAGTAAGCTCTTCTCTTTCCTCGTGGCCATTGTTTGGCTCCAAAATTTGCTTTCATGCAATGTTGCTCTCTCTCTCTCTCTCTCTCTCTGGTTCTCAGGTTGATATTTTGATTTATTTTCTGGCATTTCTGGATTGTATCAAACATAATTGACACCAAAGTACAGTGATATTTATGCATTTTGGCTGAAAATAGTAAATTGAGGTGTATCCATGAATTGTAACTATCTATGGAATTCAGATTCGGCACTTGATAGTCCTGACATTCTCGGGCACTTGATAGTCCTGACATTCTCGGGCACTTGATAGTCCTGACATTCTCGTGCAACATGGTCACGTTACTTACTTCTTCCTTCTTAAAAGTGAAGACTATATACATAGATTAACATGAGCCTTTTCGACATGTTTTATTTCACTCACAATCATCTCATAATTTTTTTTAATAGGTCATTCAATATAGAATTATTGAGCCACTAAGCCACTAAAAAGAAAGATGAACTCGTTAGTATAGAAGCCACCAAAAAGAAAGATCCTCTAATTTAAATGTGATATTTATTTATTCATGTATCCTTTTTTATTCGAGTATTACATAAATAAAAAATGTTGTACTAGGTAGGTTAGCTTTTATTTATTTATTTATTATTATTATAATATTTTACAAGAAAGCAAAATATTTAAAAATATGGTTAATTAAAATTGCAACGACATTGTGGTCTATTCTTTTTTTATTATTTGTCCCAAATCAAATACGTAACTAAAATATGATGCAAAATGAATATTTCTGAAAGCTAGGTCAGAGATTTCCTCCACGAACATTATGAATCCAAACTTGGAGAAGGGAAGGGAAGGGGAAAATGAGTTTGCCACCTTACACTACCTGAACTTGTTCTTATTATATACTCCCAATGAGTCTAAAAAAATCATTTTTTTTATTAAATTTTTTATAAACACGATTAATTCACATCATATTTTTAATCAAAAGATTAGACATTTGGATTTCCACATCCACGTCGGTTTGGAATTATTTTTCAAAAAAATTATAAATAAAATTGTGAGTGGTTGTTCCAAATCATAATTTTTATATTTAATTATACCAATTTCTTGAAAATGACCTGTACCTAAACCCTTTTGAGAAAATTCAATCTTAAATTACTTTTTAAAGGGTTAAAAAATGTTTTTAATTTTTTTTTAAATATGAATCATTTGGATAAGATTCTCAAAAACAAAATTATAACAATTTTTTAATTAAAAAAAAAATCGTATATTCATTCAATTTCCGTGGTCGTCGGCGAAAAGCCAGACATTTGGTTGGTGAATCCAAAAAGGAGACACAAAAACACATCACTTGAAATTAACAATGAAATTTCAAACTTCGAAAGGTTGCAGTGAGGCCATGGATTATGTCAGTGATGATCTCACGAACACCGCCATTGGAAGCAACCATCTTCCCTTTCGTTGTTCTCCGTCGTTATATAACCCGCCATTGCCCTCTTACTCACCACCCAAATCCGCCCCCAAATCCTTGATTTCACAATGGCCTCTGGGGATGAGAAGTATCGCTCGCTTTTGCGTGGAGATGAAGAGAAGAACACCAAATGGAGATTTGGGGTTCCTCCTAACTACGATGTTGTCAACAAGCTCTTCGAAGAAGAGCGGACTAATGTAATTTCTTTCTCTGTTTTCTTGGATTGAACTGTTTTGATCTGTTTCCATTAGGGTTTTAATTGTGAAAGGGTGTGATTTCCTTTTAAGCTTTTGATTTATAAGTTTCACTGTGGAAGGTATGGCCTGTTGGATCACTTGAAGAGAGAGTGCAAAGCCTGGTGAAGAATTTTGAGATGGAAATGTTCCATAAGATATCAACCACTGATTTCAGAACAATAGATTTAAACAAGTTTACTTTCTGTCTCAATGGTATGAACAATAGATTCAAACAAGTTTATTTCATCTAATTGATGATAAACTAAACAAAACAATGATTTCTCAGGAAGAAAGCCTTTAAGTATTGAAGAAACTAGTAAACTGGGAGGTTACAATCCCTTCCTTCAGACCTCCATCCCTGAGGAGTATAGGTACTATAATGCTGCAAAGGAGACTGCTGCATCTTCTCACCAAGCTTTCACTGCCACGTTCCCTCGAGGTTTTGCTCTCGAGATTATCCAAGTTTATTCAGGGCCTCCTGATATTGTGTTCAAGTTTAGGCATTGGGGATACATGGAGGGAGCTTTTAAAAGCCATGCCCCCACTGGGGAGAGAATTGAATTCTTTGGAGTTGCCATTTTTAAGGTAGGATCCAACTTCAATGAGCTTGTATGTTACTGTTTTTGGCTTGTTCTTATTGAAGTTTTTGATGAACCAGGTGAATGAGAATGATATAATTTTGGGGGTGGAGTTCTTTTTTGACCCAGGGGAATTGCTTGGGAAACTCATGAAAGGTCCTTGCTTGGATGGCTCGGTTGAAAAGGCGGTTTCGAGCTGCCCTATCTTGAGAAACACAGGGTAGAGTTTTAAGTTATGGTTCGATATTTCATCTTCTCTTTATCTATTGCCTGGCATTACAAGTATATCATGAAGTAATGAAGCATACAAATGTAACCATATGTTTACCTTCTAGTTGGAATAAAGCTCTATCTCTTTCATGTTCCTTTTTCTTTGTCACATTCTCTTGTTGACACTGTCAGTTTTCCCCCCTTTTTTCCCCAACTGAAGTACTGAAGTCAGTGATTAAATGCAAAATTTCTATGCTAGTTTAGTTTTTGATACAGTTTTGCTTAGAAACAAAGATTACAAACTGCCCTTTTGGGCAAGGATTCGGTAACCACATTCTGCATCGTTCATGTAAGATTCCACATCGGTAGGAGAATAGAACGAAACATTTTTATAAGGGTGTGGAAACCTCTCCCTAGAAGACCCGTTTTAAAAACCTTGAGGGGAAGCCCAAAAAGGAAAGCCCAAAGAGGACAATATCTCCTAGCGGTGAGCTTAGGCTGTTACAAATGGTATCAGAGCCAGACACCGGATGATGTGCAACGAGGAGGTTAAGCCAAGCCCCAAAGGCAGGTGGACACGAGGCGGTGTGCTAGCAAGGATGTTGGCCTTGAAAGGAGGTGGATTATGAGATCCCACACCAGTTGGGGAGGAGAACGGAGCATTCTTTATAAGGGTGTGGAACCCTCTTCCTAGCGTACACGTTTTAAAACTCAAAGAAGACAATACCGGCTAGCAGCGGGCTTGGGCTTGGGCTGTTATATAATGATTTTGTAGACATTGGCTAAACAGAAAACACCATATATTATGCAATTCAAGATTACAGATTCGACTCGAGGCCTAGTAATTCTACAAATTACATGACAAACCTACCTATTACATCTGTATGAAACAGAAAGACCACAAGTGTATGCATACAATACCTGCACCAAGTTTGGATGGAAAACAAGGAAAATTTCCTATGATACGCGTATGACAGTGTATTTACATGTAAGAAAATGTAAATGAAACAAAGAGAACTCAAAACTTGTGAAACTGTTCTTCTTTTGTCCCTTGGTCTCGCTCTATGCAGACTTCAAGCGATCTAACCTGTACAGTCTCTAGAAGAAACAAAACATTCTCAGTACTAAACTTTCATTGAATTGATTTACAGTACTGAAAGTAATACTTGAGTTTACCAGAATAGAATGGATATCTTCTAGAAAAGGCGAGAGCCTGGAAATGAAGGAGTCAATTTCCTCCGAAAGGGTGTCGTTTTTTTTGTCTTTGGCCATTAGAAGATTAGCAAAGGTTTCGCTATCAGGCACAAGTTTCAGGGCTATCTGCAAGAACCATAGTACTCTTCTTGTTTATACAAAACTACCATGATCTAATTCAGAAAGCAGCAGATGAAGAAGTAGAATTACTTTGAAAGCAGCAGATGATATCCATCCATGCCATGGCTTAAGAGTGAGGCTATACGCTTCCTCTACTGCTTGCTCCATGCTCATCCTAGGCTCTTCTTTTAACTTCTGCAATAAGGACACTATAAAATCCAGGGACCTAAATCACAGTAAAACTCCATAATCAGTGTTATATCTCATCTCTTTTCTCTTTTGTTCACAGGTGAATGAATGAAGCTACCTTGTCAGCCACAGAAACGCTCTGCTACAGCTGGTGAGCTTCCTAGTACTTCCTTCATTTGTCTCTTTCTTAAGAATTTCTACCATATTTGAATACATGGAAGGATCGGACTCATATATGCTCTCCAACCTCTGCATTTCAGACAACGAAACTATAAGGAATAGACACAGAGAGAGAGAGATTTATGCCACTTCTGATGCTGTTTATACCTGAATATTCTGATGAATGTCTTGTCTTAGAACAGTCATTGTCGGTCCTACCTTATCTGCAGCAAAAAAGAACCAAACCAATCTCATTTAACAGAAACATGTCCTGTCTGTCTACAGTTCTCAAGACAAGCAGAAATTGAGAGGTACCAAGAAATTGAAGGATCAAATTGCAAACAGAGAGGAAGGGCTTGGTGGGTATGTCAGAAGCGGCATGATCAACAGGTTTGAACTGAGCCAACACTGAAAGCTCTGCAGTTGCAGACCTCATTTCAGGTTCCTTTTCCACTTCTCTCTTTCTCTTCATATATATAAGCTTCTTGTGGTTTCTTCACTTCTTGTGGTTTTCTGTACTGAATCTTCTTATAAAGGAGGGACCTTTCTTTCTCCTTCTTCTTCTTGTGCTTCTCTGCTGCTTCAGAAAATTCCCCAACAGGCTAAAGCTCTGGGCTGAGCTCTCTGTAAAGTTCCCCTTTATATATTCATTTATCTTTTGATTAAAGAATGCTTTCAAATTTATGAAATGTTGATGGTGACTGCAGGTTTGACCTCTATTATCAGTAACCTCCCTGATTAAATAATTGTTTGAATCTGTAACAGGACTTTTAAGATTAATAAATCTCATCCAGTTCGCCTTCCGGTTCATCAAATACCGTGAAATTCCACATCGGTTGGGAAAGAGAACGAAACATTCTTTACAAGGGTGTGTAAACCTCTCTCTAGCAGACGTGTTTTAAAAACTTTGAAGGAAAGCACGAATGGAAAGCCCAAAGAGGACAATATATGTTAGTGGTAGGCCGTTACAAATGGTATCAGAGCTAGAGATCGAGTGATGTGTCATCGAGGAGGCTGAGCCCCGAAAGGGGGTGGACACGAGGCGGTGTGCCAACGGGACATTAGATCTCAAAGGGGGTGGATTTGAGGGGTACCACATTGATTGGTAAAGGAAACGAGTGTCAACGAAGACGTTGGGCCCCGAAGGGGGTGGATTGTGAGATCCTACGTCGGGTTATTAAAGACAATATCTGCTAGTAATGGATTTGGACCATTATTAAACACTTTTTTTTTTTTAATTATTATTCAATTCATAGTTGAAATAAATTTGAACTTTTTGGGGAAAAAAAAAAGCAATAAATGATATGAAAAAAGGTTATCCAAATTATATCACGTTCCCATAAAGATGATGCTGCTATGGCCATGCTTCCCATGGATATCACCAAAATATTCATTCGGATAATTATAACCGTCGCAAAAAAAATATCAATAACTTTAATTTTAGAACGATTTTCACAATTTAATAAGGAATGTTTTGTTCTCCCTTTAGATCTCACACTCCACCCACTTGAAATCTAGCGTTCACATACACTCCTTGGTGTCTGGCTCTGATACCATTTGTAACCGCTCAAGCCCACCGTTAGTAGATATTATCTGCTTAAGTCCGTTACGTATCATCATCAGCCTCACAGTTTTAAAACGTGTCTATTAGAAAAAAAGTTTCTACCCCTTCCTAAAAAAATGATTTGTCCCCTCTACGAATGTATGAGAGGTGAGATTTCACATATTCTATTTTATTTAAAAAAAAAAAAAAAAAAAAAA